TGGAAGGTCTTAGCTTCTCACGACGTCCTGATTATTATGGGTTATGGTGTGAATGCAACATGGGATTCAAACGAATTCGAGGCTCGCACTTTGGTCGTTTCGAGTGGGAACTGTCCAGAGGAGGTGGAGAGGAGATGCTGACTGCGTTGGAGATCAGTGAGAAGCGAGGTCCGAACGATTACAAAGTTGCAACTCATGGTCAGATGGCGAAGAAGATCTGGCCGTACTTTGATCCTGCCGAATTTCAGAAGAAAATTTTGAACTGCTAAAAAATGTTTTCATAACCAATAAATATAAACAATTTTGAGCATTACGGGCACTTCATTACATCAGAATATTCACTAAAAGATGAGTAGATCGGTGCGTATCTGATGGTATAAAAAGGGGGGAAGCAGTAGGAAGCGAAAAGAAAAGATTGGAGTGAGAAAAAGGGGGAGAATTGATTTCATATTTAAATATTATGCTTGTCTGTGAAAAAAAAGGTCAGAGTATTTTTTGCAGTCTGAATACGGTAGCTATATCGAAGCGGAGAGCCTAAATAGCATACATAAGGTGGAGACACAGACACTTTTTCTCTGCGTCTCAACCTTTTTTTTCTAAGACAAGGATAATAGGGCAACTACAATTTTTAACGACTGTAGTAGTCATTGAATCAAAAGTGACTGCTTGCTCAAAAAAAAAAAGAAATCACCATCGTGATTGGAAACGATGCGTGACTTCAGCGCGAATGATGAAAATTCAAGGGTGCAGGGGGAAGAAGAGAAACGACGATAAATCCCACAACTACAGATTGTTGGGGATGTTTCGTCGCTGTGTACAAGTTTAGCGCATTTTTAAAAAGAAGACTGCAACCAAACAGTGACACTACAAGTAATGAGAAGGGGTTGCGAACTTCACCGAGACCTCAAACCGATTACTAGGAAATATAGAAGAGGTGGTGGTCAGGAGACAGTCGCGGAATCTAAAACTAGCATCACAATTCAGGTCTTATTTTTATGACTATACGGAGAGAAGAGCTTCCGTTTACAGGGTTTTTTAGTTTCAGAAAAGGCGGCATCAGGAATAAATTAAGAAAAAGAGAGTACTGAAGGGGAAACTCATGTTTCAGAAACGTATCAAACGCGATGCAAAAAAAAGTATATATATATATATATATATATATATATAAGCTGGATTCACAGGAATGCCGGGCTTGTAGAAACAAAGGGAAAAGAGAGTAGAAAGAGGGAGAAACGGAAGCAAAAAATATATATGAGAGAATTATAATAAATAAAGATATATATGAGCACTGAAAAGTACAGATGAGAGAAAAAGAGGCAGCACAGATTACTGTGGACTTTGAGGCTGATGTTGGGGTGGTGGTTGCTGCTCCCTTGGTGGTGGTGGACCACCCTGCTGCTGTAGTTGTGGAGCAGGAGGTGGAGCTTGTTGGGAGGAGGGATTTACACCTTCAAAACTTCATGAACAGTCAAGGTATAGCTCTTCACTAATCTCAGTTACCTTGATTTCCGCCAAACTGTTGCGGAATGGAGTTTTGGCGAGGAGGCATGTGTCCTCCATGCATTTGGTGCTGTTGTTGCTGTTGCTGGAAGTTGGGCATCGTACGGTAATCGAAAAAGCTATTCTGCGAATATCCTGTATCGGCACGTTCTCCCATCAAGCTTGGTTGAACTGCAAATTTTAATTTTTTCATTTCGGAACAGTTTTACTATAGTTTTACCATGTTGATTAGGCATTTGCTGCATCTGTGGCACTGGCATCATACCGTAGTACACTGCTGGCTGAAATTTTAACAGAGTTATAGTTAGGTTTCATTGACAAAAAAAATGGAAAACACACTAATTCTCCGCAGAGAGCCAGTGTGGAAAGCGTATTTAGTTGCAAACCAAAATAAATAGAAATTGGCCGAAGTAACCGAAAGTTAACGATTAAAACATGCCTGCTGTTGATAATATTGCATCGGAGCGGCGTGCATCTGATGAATGTACATTGGATTGGCTACTCCCACCATCTGAGGTTGCTGCATGTGTGGTGGTAGAACTCCATGTTGTTGTACTCCATGTCCTCCATGAGGCCCTTGTTGATGCTGTGGTGGTGGTTGTTGTTGTTGCTGTTGTTGTTGTGGATGCTGTTGCTGTTGTTGCGGTGGACCACCAGTATTGTTGGTCTGTGGAGATCCACTTCGTTGTCCAGATTGGGAACTAGCAGATCCGCTGATACTGGCGCTGCTTCCAGCTTCTGGTTCGCGTTGTACTCCATTGTTATTGTTCTGAAACTGTCACGGTCACAATATTGAAACGCTATCATAGGAATAGGAAAGTGTCAAAGCAAAGGTAGCATGCCAAATTAGAATAATCAACAAGAAATCACCTGTGGTTGTGTTGGTTGTCCTTGTGGCTGCATCTTCTGTCCATTCATCTCTCCACGTGGCCCTGGTGTATTTGGTTGACTATTTGGATGCGATTGTGGTCCACCGTGCTCGCCAGCGAACTGATGTGCCTGTTGTGGAGGAGGGCCTTGATACCTTTGTTGTCCTCCCATGTAGGCTGGATTTTGTTGATATCTTTGCTGATATTGGCCTTGTGGTGCTTGCTGCATTTGTGGCACAACCTTCATCTGATACTGTTGCTGTGGCGCGCCTCCTTGGTATTGGTAGAATTGCTGTGGAACTGGCATCATTTGTCCTGCCTGGCTATACTGTGGATAGAACAGTGGCTGTGGCTCACGGAATTCTCCGTCTCCGCGTCGTGCTTGCTGGTTTCCTTGTCTGCCATCATTCTGAGCACCAGCTCCCGTATTTGGTGGCATCTGTTGATTCTGAGCACCTTGTTGGTTCACTTGCATAGGAGCCGTGGATACAGATCCATATATTGGTCCTGGAACTCCTGGAACCTGAACAAACTGCTGATTCTGTTGATATCCTTGTTGACCTTGTGGCCACATCATGATTGCTTGTCCTTGGTTATGAGGAACACCGCCTGGTGGCACGTGTGGCATCATTCCTCCTTGCATGTTCATTTGCTGTCCTGGTGGAGGTCCTTGAGGGATCAAACCTGGATGTTGTTGATATTCTGAAACGTTTATCAAATTAACTTCAAGAACTCATTCGTCTCACAAACCTTGAGTGATGAATTGCTGTTGCTGGACCGGAGCGACACCTTGTGGACCTGGTCCAGTTGGAGTACTTGGGGTAGGGGTGGACGGTGCTGCACGTGGCTTGAATTCTGGAGCATTTATGTTGAACTTGAAAAACTGTGATTTCGAGACTGATGAAGTTTCAGAGCGACCAGTAACGGATACATTGTCTGTTTCGTCAGGTCTTCCATCTGTCTCCGTCTGTCCTTCGGCACTTGTCGATGGTAACTCTTCTGAAGAATTGTTTGAATCTTGAAAAAATCACACCTCTATTATCTTACCTTTCGTCTGTGGAAATGGTTTTTCAACGATTTCTTTCTCTGCAGACGTCGGAGTCGCTGTTGATGCTCCCTTGGTGACTAGAGAACTTGGTGGACCACGGTTCCAAGCGCTACCCGAGTTTCCTTGAGACACTGGCGGAGTAGATCCTGGAGCTGGAGATTGCTCTTTTGGGGAAGTAGCAATCGAGAATTCATTGCCCCAGTTTTTCAGCTCCGTAACACGAGATCCAGCACCTTGCCCCTTCTCACCTTCCGGTTGCTTGGCGCTAGGTCTTGGATCCAACATCTGCTTCTGTTGTTGACGGAACGAATGATCCTGTCCCTGGTTCTGACCCTTCCCCTTGGCCATCTGCCAGTCTGAAATTTATCGTTTTTATTTATTGATGGCATGATAAGTGTGTGGGTGATTGGAAGTGACTCATTTTTTGGGCAAGAGAAAGCTGACGGTATTACTCATTCTAATTTTCTATTAAACAGTGTATGTGGAGGCTGTGAAGGAGTCAATAGGCGCAGCAAGAGACTGTTTCGAAATATTTTTTTGGTGTCGATACTGATAGGAATCGTCGGAATTCAAGTTGGCGATTCGAAGAAGGCTTAGGAATTTGGCACAAAAAACAACGAGAAAGTGTTAGACAGCTATCTAGCGACAGATCAGTAAAATTCGAAAAAAAATATTCAGATAAAGGAAAGTCGAGCTGACCACCTCCAGTACACGATCGGCGTTTCATGGAGAGAGAGAGAGAGAGAGAGAGAGAGAGAAAGAGAGAGAGACGTAGACAACACAGTAAAAAAAACACTGATAGAATGAGAAAATAACAAACAAGTGGGATGGAGAGGACAAGAGAGAGCCACCGGAAAAACAGCGAATAAGTATGAAAACTATGGCAGGCGGAACGAACCGATGCACGATGGCGTGTTTCGTTGTTGCAGCACCGGACAATCAGGGAAAGGAAAAAAGAGAAAGAGAGAAAGTTGCGTCCACCCTATCGATTGGTATAGACACGGTTTCGAGGAGAAAAACCAACTATGATAAGAGTAGAAGTGGGAGTGGACGCAATAGGCTTGCATCCGATGAATCAGTCTCAATATTATCTGAAGGTTTAGAGAGACGCAGTTTCTAGGAGCAATGTCACTGAAAGAACCACCGTAAATCTTATTTTGAATGATTTTTTTTCTAGCAACTTTCATAAATCAGCTGAGAAGTTCGACGAAAAAGGCGGCCGACAGAGAGAGACGATGAAACCATCCAATTTGTTGTTTGCAGACGAACGAGGAAAACGGTTGCATCAATGGTTAGCGTGGCGCATTATGTCATGCGAAATGGGTCAAGACAAAAGAATACTCAAAAAAAGAAGATGAAACGAAAGAGAAAAGAAACCCGAGAGGAGAAAAACGGATATTATGAGAACGAGAAAGGACGAGGTTGTTGGCGTCGGGGAGTAGATAAGCATCTGACAGGGACAGTGTACTTTGAAAAACTCCTCACCGTTCTCGCGGTAGTCGTCGTTTTGACGCCGGTTGTTGTGACTTCCACTCTTCTGCCCTTGCTGTTGGGGTGGCTGGTAGTTCTGTGTTGAAGCTTGTGCACCGTAACGACTGTTATTTGCTGAAGAACCACTGCTATTGCGACGATCTCCACGCAATCCTTCTGCTCGCCGGTTAATAGGTTGTCCATTCGGTGTGATGTTCGGATTCCGCCGTTGCTGTGGTGCCTGATTGTAGATGTTTCTGGAACAAAAAACATAGATCGCGTTCCGGAGTGTCTTAGCAAATCAATTACCTTTTGTTACCTCTCTGGTTTCCATTCTCGAACTCGTCTTGACGTGTAGACTTGTCCAAATCCCTTTCATCGTCGTCATTTTCAAGGTTCGCCATGAACTTCGAGGATGTGTTGGACTCGATTTCCCGAGCAATTCGTTCTGCTCGAGCTCGATCTTCTTCTGTACCTACAGCATCAACTCTGAAATAGCACTAGTTGAAGACAACTGGAACAATGAAACTACTTACGTTGTGTATTGGGTCATATCTTCCTTAAATGTTGACACCACCTTTAACTTCTCATTCACGGCAAACATCTCATTAACTGACCACCCAGAGGCTCCATTATTATGATTATTACGTCGCGAGCTTTGAGGTCCACTCTATAAAATTACTTTCTTATCAACTAGTTCCTTTCTTTCGATGAACTCACATCGACATCATCTTCAATCGACTCTCCGATACCTTCTTCGTCGTCTCCTCCGTTCCACGCCTGAAGTTCTTCGTTTTCATTCACAACGTCTCCGTGGTATTGGCGATCGGTAGCGAATTTGCTGACTGGAAAAAAATAATCATTTTCAGGACAGCGTTTGGCATAAATACTCACCGAACTGATTCTTTTTGTCTTCTTCGGTGATATATGCAAAGTCTACAATGTCGTCGAACTTGAATATCATTTTCTCGATGACATCCTTCTCTTGCCGGAGCAAATCATTCTCGTTTTCCTTTGTGACTTCAACAACGAGCTCCACTCCGAATTCGAACTAAAACAGATATTATGAAAAAAAAAAATTTTCTTATTGCTACCTCAGGGGAAATTGCATTTAGAACTCCTGACCAGCGTTTGTTATCCGTAGTGTTGATCAAGACAACGCGTCCTACCATATCGTTAACAGCATACATGATATTGCAATCCGTTCCTCCCTTCTGACCCGTTTCGGATGCCTAAGTAGTTATTTCCGTTCATACTTCATCTAATTCAACGACTCACCATTTCTATTCGCACGTTGGATGCAAATAAAATGAATTTAAAAAATCTGCCTTCGTTGCAGCAGTCAAAAACACAGTCTGGGTACAGGAGAAATGTACCTGGAAAGATTCAAATTATGAAACCCGGTGGAAGAAGGAGAAAGAAGAGTTTGATGACAAGCAATGGTGAAAAAAAAGATGAGATGCAAGCCGGAATTCGATTCCACTAATGCTTGATGGGATAAATATGTTAAATTTTTGAACATACTAAAAATGTTTCAATTTTTGCTACAGAAACATTAAAATCAATCGAAGAGACAGGAGCATGTGGGCCAAAAACTGGCAGCGAAAACATTCACAGTACTGGACTACGAGAAGGGAAAGGTTTACTTTCGGAAATTCCGAGACACAATATGTATCAACTACTGAAACCGAAAACTTGATGATTGGAGAGAAAAAATTCGAGCGATAAAGAGGATCACAAGAAATTGATGAATTTGAACGAACGCGGGAAACGAGAGAGTACGCTGAACAGAGAGGACACAAACACAGCAACACGAATGACGCAGCCGATTTCCGTCGGGATTGAGAGGACGCGCCCATTTGCAATGCCGTGCACGGGGTTTCCGCAAGTCTGTCGCACATAGTTCCCCTTTTGTGCCTTTTTCGCCAGAGAGTTGTAAAGAAGGGAAAACGGTTGTGAAGTACTCTTGGGAGTGCCAAAAAAAGTGTGAATGTTGTGGATATGTTCAAGAAATTGATAAAACGAGAATCGAGAGTATTGATGAAAAAATTATTACGAAAAGAATTGGGTCACTTCAGAATGTGAATTGCCGGGAAACCCGGTTAGGAAGACCTTTTCGAAAAAAAGTTTTCCGATAGAGGAGTGAACATAAATATTTATTTAGAAATGTTTCTAAAAGTTAGTTGTTCAACATATGCATATTTGTAACATTTCAGAGAATGCATGAAAATCCAGAATTTTACGAACCTTTGTTTAAAACCACCAGCCAATTTATGACTCATAATTCTTCGACAAGGCACAGTATAGTATCATTTTTTTAGTACTCGTCGAGTTCTATCATATTAAATTTGATTGATCCAGAAAAATTGATTCCAAAAGAAACTTTGGTATGGAAAACTGTGATAACCTGTAAAAGAACGCCTCAATCATTGATGATTTTTCGAGAACAAGATTTTAGGCAAAGCCATTCATTTGAGTTTGTTAAAATATGAGAAAAGATTAGGTCAAAGAATGAAGCAAAACAATAGATTGTGCATAAAAATAAAATGAATGGAAGAATTTAAAAAATGATGTAGTACATCAGTGTGCGTTGGATAGGAGTGAGGGGCTCAATCAGAAATTGATGGAAACGATGTAAAATAATTTAGAGTTCCAAAACAATATAACACAAAAAAGAACAGTAAATAGAGGATGATAGAGAAAAATTGCACATGCATTATGCTGATTAGAAAAATTATATGTCTTGTATAGATCCATGGAATTATCTGACCATTCTCAGAAACTCTTCTTCCGTCTCTTTCCACACCTCCGGCGCTTCAAACAGCTGGAATTAACCTCTTTCTTTTACTGTTCGTCGCTTCGCGACTCACTTTTTTAAAAGGTCACGTGAATTTATATTTATTTATATCGTGAATTTATATTTATATTTCGTGATTTTTTTTTATTTTCAAGCTTCTCAAAATGTTCGGACAAAGTGAGAGAGAAATAAAGAGACGCAACTTCATTTATTTATTATAAGAATGATAAGAATGATGATAAGTTTCGAGAACTATTCGATCTTGGTCCCAGGGAAAACATCCTACAAATCATGATATGAATACAAAGAACAATTCATTCGAATTTATTGATAATAAAAAAAAGATTAGAAGCGTGAAGCAAAAACAAAAACAAAAAACTACTACATGAAATCAAAACTAAAAAATTTGAAAGTTATTAGTACAATGTTTATTTAATTATGGATTCTGAGAATAGTGGGGAAAAATACATGATAAACAAATTCCAAGCCGAAAATAGGTTCTTATGAATATAGTATGCGTTAGATGGAGTAAGGTGATATAATGAAAATTCAACAAAACTATGAAAAAACGGAGAGATGTTCATTATGTTGATTAATATCTTATGGATCCAGTAGTTTTCAGAATAGTTTGAAAAATGGAGAAATCTGGAACTATTTCACCATTTTCAGAAACTCTTCCTCCATCTTATTCCATACTCCAAAACAGAACGATTCGTCCTGAATAGAAACAGATACCACACGATTATCTGTTTCCCTATCGATATATGAGTGACTGATGATAGGATTCGTATATGGGAAAAATCCGTATTGAAGCCTGAAAACGATTTTATCCTTTATCTCACAAGAAATAACTATTTCGAAATTACTAAAAAATAACTCACCGTTTGGGCAATGTGTGCATGGGTGATTTTTTAATTGCATCAATATGTTTCACTCCATTTTCATTCAGAAGTTCGTTTGGGAGGTTGTTAAACTCTATTGCTATTTTCAAGTATTCCAACTTCTGAATTGTTCTCCGGTTCTCGATCTATTCATAAACTCTATCAGATCCAGAGTGTTCCTATCATAGCATCTTAAAAATGCCTGTCTCCCTCGAAAATGACGTAAAAAGGCAGGAACAGTATTATTGTTTATTATGAGGGTAATCGATTCTACCTGCCAGAATTCGGACTCCGGACAGAATAGCTCTGGTTTAACCAACTCCATACTTATATGTTTCAAAACAGGAGACGAGGCAAGATATTCTTCAATGTCTTTGATGTCTATAGTTCCTTCTACGTTATCAGCCCAAAAAGAAAGACACAATGATACTTTTGGAAGATGTGGAATGAATTCCTTGTAATGTCCCACATATTGATACTCTACAGTATCGCCGAAGAAATCGAGAAAGTAATTATGAATAGGTTCCATAGTTGATTCTTTGTTACTCGGGTGACAATAAGCCTCAGGATCTTGATATTGGTTGGATAATCTGAAATAATGTTATGTTTCCAATTAATTACTGTTTCTCACTCACCGAAAATTCATAATTTTTCCAGATACGTTCAATTGAAAATAGTCATTTTTTGTTTCCTCGCGGCGCTCAGTAAATTCCATGATAGTATCCTACTCGAGCGTGAAGGGAATATAAACCTTCCGTCTACCTCTCAGACCAAAGCTAGGATCTGAATACACAATATAACCGATGCTTTTGAACCTCTTAATTTGAGACGATTTGATCAGCTTTTTCATATTTTTGGAGACAAACGACAACCAAAATAAATCCGAAATTTCAAGGTTGTCAAGAATCTCCTTTTGGACCACATACGGAAAAATCGTTAGTTTCATTGTTTGTAGTTCTGAAAATGTTGAACAGATTATAGAAGAAGAAGAATGATGATGCGGAAAACGACAAACGCTTGGAATAGATAATGAATAACAAAAGAAGGAGCATCTGAATACGTGGCAGATGACCCAAAAGACACAGAAGAAGATCTTACGATGATGAATGTATGACCTTCACTCATTCACACAGGGACCACCCCATCAGGGACCACCCCTCGATTAAAGAATAATGAGAGTTTTCTCTAAGGAAGGTTCAAAAATCAAATGGGTTCATTGTACATGAATATGCAACCGTTATAAGAATGTGCAAACTCTAAAACGATGAAAACTTCAAATTCACATTGGTGCTGAAATTTCTCTTATGTTAGTTTCCATTATCTGAAAACCTCAGAATCCTGAAATCAGAATCCTTTCAGTACAAAATTTGAAAAATAAAAATGTTCACCGCTGAGAAAAAGGCTTGCAGCTCATATTTTTCACTGGGGAGAGCGTGCAAAAGTGAAAAAAGAAACTCTAAATCTACGAAACTCGCCTTGACACATCAAACATTTATGCTCAATTTTCCTCAAACATGTCGACATTTCATCACATGGTATTTAATTCGGTATTTGTTGTCCCCACGGGGACTGGGCCGAGCCCGGCAGCAGTGCAACGCCGGGACGACCCTTGGAAAGTCGGAGCAAGCCCCGAGTCTTTCCTAGGTTCCAAAAATCATATAACCTTAATTACACTCATTCGAGTGTATACCGTAGGTTAATACGATAAGAACAGATACTACACTTTGATCTTAGCTAATAAGCCGAAGAAGCGATGGAGAGACGGCGAGGCGACGGGTGTAGGGGCAACGCGTGTACCGACAAAAACCGGGCTCGCGCCGGCCACTATACCTATGTGGTTAAGGAGAAGAGACGTGGTGGGGGAGTTAAAAATAGTGATTCCATGAGAAGTTTTTAATGTGAAGGATAACGATGAATTCAGAAATTCTGAAATTTTGTGATGCTTATTGTTAGATTTTTTTCGCTACCTTAAAATTAAAACCGAAAATCGAAACGAAGGTTTTTAAGGAAAACGATGAATTTGAATTTATTGACACTTAAAAATAGATAATTACATAAAGAACGAAGCAAAGGTAGATAGAGGTTTAGGTGATTTAAAAAAATTTGATGAAAGCAATGTGAAAAAAGTTTACATGACGATGTTATCTTGACTAATATCTTAAAGGTGGGGGGACATGAAAAAAATAATGTTCTCGAAATTCCGTTCAAATATGCCCCTCGAGGAGTTGAACTTGTGGGAGCGAGGATTGAGGGTGCGGCGCCGCTACCGACTGAGCCACGCGGGCAAAGCGGCAGCCGGCGCCCGGTTGCATACATAAAGGCGAGGACGACCGCTGTACGCAGAGTAACATTAAGCGTTGTACACCGTCACGGTAGAATGCATACCCTAACTCCAAAAAACCTCCGAAAAATCTCCTGTCCCCCCACCTTTAAGATAATTATATGCCTTGTATGGATCCAATAGTTTTTAAGAATATTTTGAAGAGCAGAGGAATCTTGAACTACGTCACCAATTTCAGAAACTCTTCTTCCGTCTCATTCCATACTCCAAAATAGAACCTATCTCTATTTATTGCAACAGATGCCACACGATTATCTGTTTTTCGAACGACATATGCATGACTGATGATCGGAGCCGTATTTGGAAAGTCCCCGTATTTATACCTATAAAACGATTGATTATTCCACAGTTATCATAAAAGAAAATAATATTTCAAAATTACTGAAAAATAACTCACACTACGGGTAATGTGTGAGTGGGTGGTGTTCTTGATTCATCAATATATTTTACTCCATTTGCATTCAGAATTTGGTTTTGAACGCCGCGATTTCGCATTAATTTAATTTTCAAGTATTCCAACTTCCCACATTCTTGTCCGGATTTCCATCTATTCATAAACCCTATAAAACTTGAAACGTCATATTCATCGCATCTCAAAAATGCCTGTCTTCCTTGAAAATGACGTAAAAAATCATGAGCGGTTCTGGTGTATAGTGTGAGGGAGATGGATTCTGCCTGATAGAATTTGGACTCCGGACGGAACAGTTGTTGTGATTGCAAACTCATACATATCTGTTTCAAAGCAGGAGACGAGGCGAGATATTCTTCAATAGGTTGAATGTTTATAATTCTTCCCAAGTTACCAGGCCAAAAGGAAAGACACAATGATAATTTCGGAAGATGTGGAATGAATTCCTTGTAATGTTCCACATACTGATATTCTACAGTCTCACCGAAGAAATCGAGAAAGTAGTTATGAATAGATTCGATAGCAGATTCTTTTTCACTCGGGTGGAAATATGCTTCAGGATATTGGTATTGGTTTGACAACCTAAATTAATGATATGTTTCCAATTGGTTACTGATTCTAACTTACCGAAAATCCATTATTTTTCCAGCTACGTTCAATTGAAAATAATCATCCTCTGTCTCCTCGCGGCGCTCAGTAAATTCCATGATATTGTCCGACTTGGGCATGAAGGGAATATAAACCGACCAGCTATCGGTCACAGGACGCTCAGGAGCGTCATACACAATATGACTGATGCTGTTGAATCTTGTAATTTGAGACGATTTGATCAACTTCTTAATATTTTTGGAGACAAACGACAACAAAAATAGATTCGAAATTTTCATGTTTTCCAGAATCTCCTTTTGGACCAAACACGGAAAAATCGATAGTTTCATTGTTGGTTGTTCTGAAAATTTTCAACATATTGTCGAAGAACATAAAGAAATATGAGGGAAATGATAAACGGTCGATATAAAAGAAACGAAGGAGCATCTTATGAGGTGGCAGATGACCTAAAAGACGCAGACGATGTAGACAGTCCGATGATGAGTGTATGCTATGACTGTGACTGGTTCACGCACTCACTCGTCTGTCTCAATGGGACCACTCTCGATTAGAGGTAGATTAGCTGGTAGGAGGTGTCTTCCTAGCACCTACATTAGCTTTGTGAACTGCACGACCGGTATGAGAGTGTTCAAACTCTAAAGCAATAAAAACTTCGAATATACATCGTTGCTGGAACGGTTCCCAGCATCTTAACATCTCAGAATCCCAGAAATTTCGAATTTCAAACCTTGAGATACGCAGAATACCACAATCTCACAACCTGAATCCCAAAATTCCAGAAATATGAATAAAATAGTCTAAATCTTACAATGTTTGCATAATTACAGCAGGCAAAAGAGATGGTAAATGAAACAAAATATGGAATGAAAGATGACAACAAATGGCCGATATTGGAGACGTCTGTTGGTTAGGAAGACGGTGCAATATACTTGCCAAGATACCTTCTCCTGTCTGTAGTGACCCTAGTCTGATGACTTGGCTGGACAATTACTGTATGTTATTGTGTTATGAGACCCTCGGGCAACAATCATTCACTGTCATTCGTGTGCAATAGGATGAGCATTGGGTTAAAAAACCCAAGCTTATTTCATCAACTTGGAGACAAAGGAAAACAAAAATAAATCCGATAATTTCATTTTTTCGAAAATCACCTGTTGGATCAAATACGGAAAAATCGATAGTTGGATTGATCGTATTTCTGAAAATGTTAAATAAGTTGTAGGAGAAAAAGAGGAATGATTAGGAAAAAGACAAACAATCGAAATCGATAATGAATAACAAATGAATATCTTTAAAGAATATCTTTAAAGAAGGAGCATCTTATGACGTGGCAGATGACCCAAAAGACACAGAAGGCGAGGACAGTACGGGGGTGAGTGTATTTTCTGACCATGACTGCCTCACACACTCACACATCTGTCCCAGCCCTTCATTAAGGGTAGATTAGCTGGTTGGAGATGTCTAATGTTAGCACTTCTCTGAGCGTTGTCTCCGAGGGGGTCAAATGGGTTACATAGATTCGCTACTGTTATGGAAAATGTGCATTTCAGAATTTCAGAAACTCGGAATATTAGAATTCTTGAATTTCTGAGTTTCTGAGTTTCATAATTTCAGTATTTCAGAATTCACATTTTGTTAATTTCAACTGATGCCTTAAGTATGATTACTTCAATGATTTGAAAATATCAGTCCTAGTTTCTCTGATGTTCATTCTATTTATCTTTTATCAGAGACTTCCAGGTATTCAGTTATTTTCAGAGGTTTCGTCGTAGATATACACCAGTTCATTACAAAAGGATCTCAGTCAAGCGAAAGTGTTCACAATTAGCGATTGACCCCGAAATGATAATAGTAGTTTCCGTGTATCGGAGGAAAACGAGGGAGTGTCCACTCGAATGTTGTTTTTTGTTGTCATCTTCTTCATCTTCGGCATCCTTCTCCAATTCCACACCCCTCCAGTGTGTTTAAAGTGCAACCAGTTTTCATAGCTTTTGTTATTTTTATGCTGATTTACTATCTTCTTCGAAATATGTTGTCGTTGCTTTATGGTTATTAAAGTTCCAGTTGTTGATTGGTTTATAAGCTTGAGTACTTTTGAAGATTCTTGATTTTACATAACCCAGTTTTTGAATCTGTTTGAAAATTTGTTATTGGCTTGAAACTTCAGCTCAAAATTTGTCTAGAAATGGGTCAAAAACTATCAAAGGTTTTGAATTTCTGAATTCCAAAAACTTGCCAAAAACTCTGAATTTCTGAATTTCTGAATTTCTGAATTTCTGAATTTCTGAATTTCTGAATTTCTGAATTTCTGAATTTCTGAATTTCTGAACTTCTGAATTTCTGAATTTCTGAATTTCTGAATTTCTGAATTTCTGAATTTCTGAATTTCTGAATTTCTGAATTCCTGAATTTCTGAATTTCCGAATTTCTGAATTTCTGAATTTCTGAATTTCTGAATTTTCCAATTTTAGAATTTCTGAACTTCTGAATTTTCCAATTTTCGAATTTTCGAATTTCTGAAATTCTGAAATTCTGAATTTTCCAATTTCTGAATTTCTTAATTTCTAAACGTTTTGATTTTTGAATACCGTAGTTTATCTAATTGAAGCACATGGGCTTCTATTTTCCAACTGCTTCTCAGGAAATTACCAAAAATTGAAGTCACCAGAAATTTTTTAATAAACAAAGAATATTTCTGCAATAACTGAAAAGGAAAACTTTTCTGTTTTCTGCTAGAGAGTGCATTTCTATATTTTTTAGCACTTCGGAAGGTGAGCTTCTATTAGAGGTGAGCTTCAAATAGAGGCATGCTTCTATTGAAGGAAATACGGTATTTTGAATAGCCACAGTGTTTTTCTGCCAAAACTCTTATTTTTTTAGAATGACATAAAACTGGAAACGAGACTTACAGTAACCTACAGTAATCCGGCAAACAGTGCAGATAGAACGCCACCCGAACCATCAAATTTGAGCCAATTTATCTCGGTTTCTGTAAAAAATATCAAAAAGTAATCAATTGATGGAATATTGGCGATATTTTGATAAATATTTTATTAGTTAACCAGTTTTTGATTACTTTCACAGAAATCGAGATATGTGGGCTCAAAGCTGACGGTTTGGGTAGCATCTATTAGAGGAACTCCGGTAGTTTGGTTGAGGCTGTTTCTCTAAAAGAATGCTCAAAATATTCAGAAAATTTCCTTTCTCTGCTTGATCTTTCTTTTCTATGTATTAATTTACAACTTTTCATCAATACAAAATTCCAATTTTCAGAATTTTCCGCACCCAAAATGGACTCAACATTAGAATCATCTTCTTCATCAGAAAACTGGGAGGTAAGACAAAGATAATTGTGACAGTTTCGTGTGTTCATTCCCTCTTATTCTCTTTTTCTAATTTCTCGAATATTGCAATTAACACATGATATTATGACCTCTTCTTTTCTCATTTCTTTTTATCTTTTACCCCCACCTGCCGTCGTCCGTTGTTCAACCAATTGGACAGCACCGTCGGAAATCGGAGAATCGTTTCATGTTCATTCATGAAATACGCACAATTACATTCGTTTATTTATCACTTGCTGCTGTTCTTGATTCGCATCTCATAATCGTCTTCTTGCTTCGCATTCCGATGGATTTTCGAATGACGAAAAGCATCTACGAAAAACGGAACAAAATTATCATTTAATATACCGGGATATGGGCTATTTTAGGATATTAGCTTATTCTTGAAATGATACGGTAGTCTCCCTTACAAATAGTTGTTTTTGCTTCTCCTCAACAGTAATTCCTCTAGTTGGCCGGTCGTAGGCTACCGTTAGTTTGATTCTAATTAAACCTGTAATAGAATTTCCCCTTGACTATTAACTTTGGGCCAATTTTTCCCCGGTTCCTGTCAAAAATATGAAAAAGTTGTCAATTGATAAAATTTTGATCATAACATCAGAAGTGATACATCAGTTGACACATTTTTGATATCTTGCATGGGAGTTGAGATAACTGAGCTCAAGCTTGACAGTGTCGGGTTTTACGGTATCTCGGTTTTCGTTTTAAATCTTTCTAAAAACTGTCCACTGATAAAGTTTTTATTTCAAGTAATTGGTTGGGTTTCTAGTTTTTCATTGACTCACAGCCTCAAAACTAAGATTTTTCTGCTGTTTTCGAAGTATTTGTCCACCCTAAACTTTCAAATTGACCTCAATTATCTCAATTTCTACAAGAGATATCAATAACGTGTCAACTGATAAAATGTTGGGGGTATTATAACAAACATTTTATCAGTTGACAGATTTTTGTTAAATTGAGATAATTGAGCTCAAAGTGCTGGGTAGCCTTCTTTTAGAGTGTTCACTGTAATAAACTGTTTTAGACTTTGAATTTCCTATTGTCAGTTATGTGTCTGAAATTTAGAAACTTCCAAATAATACAATAATCTTGGAAGCCAAAAAGAGACAGAATAACATAAAAATGTTATCAAATCCCTAATCCTAAAGACAACTAAATTTTTGTCAATTTTTTTTTCTAGAGAAATCTCACTGAATCGTATAAAATGCTTGAAATTTTACAGCTTTACTGAATACCGTAAAACCTGTTATAGAATAGACGCACATTGTCAAGTTTGAGCTTAATTATCTCGGCTCCTGTCCAAGATATCAAAAATATGGCGACCAATAAAATTCTTGCAAGATTATGATAAACATTTTATCAGTTGATAACTTTTGTACTTTTGACAGAAACCGAGATAAATTGGTTCAAAGTAAAAAGTTAGGTTGCTCTTCTATACCCGGCTACCTTCATTCTGCACTTCCCAAATAAAACTTCTGAACGTATTGAACTTTTTGAAATCCAAAAACTCTCATATTTTCTCACCTCTTCCCAATTTCTCACAATAAAACACTTATAATTCTTCCTCTTCTTGTCCCCACTTGAAAACTTGTGCGAACTTGATCAAACCTAATCCTCTCATGCCCTCAATTAACTCATTTTTCTATCGTCCTCTTCTTATTTAGAAAAGGTGTTCAGATTGAATACCCAGATAACATTTTGATTGATCAATCACTCTGACATGAAAACAGTTGAGGGTTAGAACTTTCGAAATTGAGAAGGGAGATGGTTGTCGAGATATGGCATTCCATTGAACATCATTTGTCAATCATATCCGCCCGAAAAGGGAATATTATCAGTGTGAAACGAACGAACGAAAAGGAGAAGAAGACTCGCGACGTCCAAACAGTAGTATTTAGGTCAATTATTCAACATATCCGCCGTCCGTATTTCGTCCCCCGTATGTTACAATTTTATCAATTGTACTTGCCTCTTCTTTGTATCTCTGTATCCCATATTTATCATATTGTTTATCACTTTTGTCTCTTTCTTGGTATCCCGAAACCTTCTGTATTCTTTTGTTCATTTCGGTACCAGCCACCTTGTTTCTCCTCTCCACTTCTTATCTTTTTTATTTGATTGACGACGTGGCAACATTACTGTTTAACTACTTCTTCTTCATCTTCTTTTTTTTCTACCTCTCCTCAGAATTCGTTCACATAGTCTTTTATGAATCATCTCTTTGATTTGATATTTCCACTCAATCCTTTTCTCTTTATTCTACTTCCCACCTTTCTTTTTTAGTTTTATCTTCATGGGAACATTCAAATAATTCATTAGGCCCTCCCTGTTCGCTATATCTTCAAAAGCCCTACCGCCAATCGGTCATTTTTCCAGGAGATGTCCTCTTACTTTGGCGCTTCTGGTGCCTCATCAGCGCCGGATCCCTGTTCACGACAAAGTCCAGCCGCAATCAGGTTTCAGAGAAAAGCATCCACCGGATCGGCACCTGTGAGTTTTCCTATTTTTTATTGGAGTGTTGGGGAGATTTATTTGTTTTGGTGTGCCGTATTTCCTATAATAGAACCCACCCAAACCGTCTACTTTTAATTCATATATCTCGGTTTCTCAAACAGATATCAAAATTTTGTCAACTGATAAAATATTGGTGGTATTGCGATAATTAATTTATCAGTTGACAGTTTTTTGATATCTAATACAGAAACCGAGATAAACTCGCTCAAAATTTGAAAGTCGACACCTGCCGGCTGAAAAACGCGGTCGGCTGCCGACCTTTTAATTTTGAGTCAATTTATCTCGGTTTCTGTAAAATATATAAAAAAGTTGTCAACTAATAAAATGTTTATTACAATATCACCAATATTTTATTAAATGAGTAAATTTTGATATCTTTTACAGGAATCGAGATAATTGAGCTCAAACTTGACAGTGTGGTTTGGACTGAATAACTGCAATTTTGAACTGGTTAAGAAAAATTGGATTTTCAAAAACAAATTTCAAAAAAGTTGAAACAAATTTCTCACAAAATCTTACTGTACTCCCGAAAACTTGAAATCTAACCTATAATTGTATTTTTGAGTATTTTAAGTTGAGCCAACATTTTGAAACTACTATGTTTCTAGGTGATCTCTACCCTGAATCCAATTTAGAATGATTTCATAACCAATCTCGCGATGACAATACAAAATTTTCAAAAATCTATTTTTTCGAAATTCCTTGAATTTTGGTAAAATTCTGACTAGACCTATTTAAATTTTGTTCCTTATTGGCTTGAGTGACTTCGGGAAAATCGCCACCAAACGTTTTGCAACCGCTGTCTATTGAGACATTTTGCACTCTGAAATTCAAAAAGGTCCACATTTTAATTTTTCACGATTTTTTTTGAACTTCGAAAAACTAGGTTCCTCGAATTTGAGAAGGTTTTAAAACCTGTAAATTCATGTTCCTCCTTCCTTGTATGTACTTTCCAAATCACATCAACTTTGGTTCCCAAACACTTTCCTTTCTTCGAAACCCTTTTTATCAGTAAATCAATTCCTGTAGATCCTGTAGGTTTTTATCAATCCAGTTCATCATGCACACTCCTCAAAAAATCTCGGAAATTTTTTCCCACGATAGAAGACTCCTCCTCCTATATCTTTTTTTCCGTCCAAAGTCATTGAATCCGTCCGGTCGTTTTCCACTTTTCTCCTCTCTACACTTCTTGTTTTTTATCGCCACCCCGTGTCACTATCATATCCATGTAGACATTCGTCGCGTTTTGCACTTTTCCTTCTTTTTTCTAGCTGGTTTAGTTTATATGCGAATATAGAGAGAGGCAGAAGGGTTTCAAAAGGGCAAAACTATCTCCGAGGAAGAAAAGGGAACGATTTGAAGATGATGACACCTTCAATGAAAACGTGTTGTTTCTTTTTTATGCCGATGTTTTCCCCCTCTACTACTAACATAATATCCCGTTGTGTTACTCCGCCTGATTGCTCTAATTTCCTTTTTCTTTCTCGAGAAGATATCTAATTGGAAACTTAACAAGTTGGATTGGAAGTTTTCTGTCTATAGGATATCCTGATTTCCCGTATTCACTTTTCTTATGTCATATTTTTTGAGATGTCCTTCATGCTGAAGTACTACCGTATTTCCTCTAATAGAAGGGCTCCTTAACTTTTAACTTTGAGCCCATTTATCTTGGTTCCTGTGAAAGATATCAAAAAGTGGTCAACTAACAAAATATTTTTGATAGTATGATAAACAGTTTTTTAGTTGACAAATTTCTGATACCTTTAACAGGAATCGAGATAATTAAGCTCAAAATTAAAGGTTTGGGTGGGGTAGACCTTGACAAAACTAAATTTGATATTTCAGTACTTTGTAAAATGTTTCATACAGTTTTTTGATTTTTTTTTGTTTATCCGGATTTTCCGATTTTTTGTAATTAAGAAATATACATCCTGAAACTTGATCAGTGTTTTTTTAAAGTCTTGAAGTTCCGTTTTTGTTGTAAAACTACCGTAAACACCCCAATAGAAGGCAACCCTGTACTTGCACTTCGAGCCACTTTATCTCGGTTTTTGTAACAGATATCAAAAAGGGGTTAAATGATAAAATATTTTTGATGTGATAATAAATATTTTGTCAGTTGACCACTTTTCAATATCAGTTACAAGAACCGGGATAAATTACCTGAAAGTTAACAAATCGGTGGTGGCCGGCCTCTTAACTTTGAGCCTAAATATCTCGGCTCCTTTGAGAAATATCAAAAAGTGGTCAACTGACAAAATGCTTATTATGATATCAGAAACATCTTGCCTGTAAGTCAATTTTTGATATCTGTTACAGGAACCGAATTATATGGGCATAAAGTGCGGTTTTCTATTGTGCTTACGGTAGCTACTCAGTTTCCCAATTAAAAAATTCACCCGACAACTATTTGCTTTAAAAAAACTTCTCATCTGCCCTAATGATCAATTAAAATACAATTGAATCCCGTTCCAGTTAGATTTTTACTACTACCCCACAGTCGGCAACCTTTTCATCTTTTTTGTTCCACATTCTCCCATTTCAAACATTTTCTTTTCCTTATCCATTCATATGAACTTATCTTGATATCATCTCTTCCGAATGTACTGATATATTTCCGAAAAATTACAAAATCTTCTTCTCCCTCTACTCCTACCACCCATCTGTTTATCACTCTGTTCCCTCCGTTTAAATGGGGTCAAGATCATTTAATCAGTGTCTCACACACTATTCTTCTTCTTTTCCGAAATTCCCTCTCTCGTTTATAACTGTTCGTAATCCTTGATGATAGGCGGTACAGAGGGAAATAATATAGGCAAGAAGAAGAAGCAAAACTGAAATATAGAGAAAGTGTTCGGAAAAAATACAGGCTTTCTGGGGAGATCAAATAGATCAATCATCATTATTCTATTTCAGTCAGTTCCACCTCCATCGGTACCTCCGCCGGAGAGCAGTGCTGACGAAGAGGAGCCAAGAGCAAGCACAAATAACAATTGCTCGTCCACATCTACAGTAGCCGCCCCAACAAGAGAACCTACGAGAGTCTCTACTCTTAAAGTATAACTTATGAATTTAGAATACAGTACACCAAAAAAGAGAATTTCAGAGAGAAGAGAAGGAGAAAAGACAAAAGGAACGTATGGAAAAAGAGAGGAAGGAGTTGGAAGAGAAACGAGTGAGAGAAGACGAAATGAAAAAAGAGGAGAGTAATCACACAACACATCCATCTCTAGGAGAACGAACCAGTTATGTGGAAGAGCCACCGTCAACGACGACTACATTGGATCGGAGGGATCGGAAAGCGGAGAAGGCGTTGGTAAGAAGGCTCTGAGAATGTTAATTGAAAGTTTTGAAATATTGGATGTTTACTTTTTAGTAAAATTTTATACAAATGAGATACCGTAAAACCTATAATCGCACGGTCCCCTAACTTTTAAATTTGAGTCAATTTATCTAGGTTCCTGTGAGAGATATCAAAAATGTGTCAACTGACAAAGCATTTTTGATATTATGATAAACATATTGTCAGTTTATCACTTTTGATATCTTCTTCAGGAAATGAGCTATGTGAGCTCAAAGTTGACGGTTTGGGGCGCGTACTACATTTTCAAAATAGGAAAACTCACAGGTGCCGATCCGTTGGATGCTTTTCTCTGAAACCTGATTGCGGCTGTAGGTCAGAGTCGTTCAATTGTTTTGAAATTTTCAAAAAATGATAAACAAATTAAGAGCTTTATTTTTGCAGTTGAAAAGTTTTTAGTCCAATTTCATCCAAAAGAGATATGCTACTTGAAATCGACGCAACTCAAAGTTGAATCTCAAGAGCTAGCTGTTTTAACTGGAAAATGAATTCAAAATTTTTATCTCTAGCACTATGTCTTATCAATTAAAATCGATTAAAACCTTGGAAATACACAGACAAAGTTCCATGCTCATACTTTTCTAGATTTATTACATCTTTCCTTTAAAACCTGTAAGGGCTCCTAATTTTTAATTTTGAACCAATGTATCTCGTTTCCTGACAAAGATATAAAGAAGTTGTCAATTGATAAAACTTCCATTATAACATCAAACGTTTTTATCAGTTGACACATTTTTGCTATCTTGCACAGGAGCCAAGAAAATATAACTTAAACTTGACAGGGTTATACAAAATCGAATGTTACATATTTTCAGGTCCGACGAATCACAAATGAAATGCAAATGGCCACATATGTCCAACAAATTGATTTATCTGCAGTTAAACAGCCAGTCGGTGCCTACACTCAAGGAGTCTTCAGAATCAGAATGCTCCGATTCGCAGAAGCAATCCTCCGACGAGCATTCTGGACACTCGGAAAGTTCATTGCTAACCACAAACTATTTTCAATTTTCGTCGCTCTTGCCTGTTTTGCTAGTGCCTTTATTCTTCCATCCCTACACAAGGATCAGATCTTCATCGATCTTCCATTTACGCACATTCTCGGATCCGACAGTGACGTCATCAGCAATGGAATAGGAATTACGCCTAAAAACCAAGAGTTTAATTCTTCGAATCCCGCATTTTCGTGCATGAAATGGCGGGACAACAATCATTTTGCGGTGCTTCTCAAGACAATGTAAGAGGAAGAAAAGATCGTTATGATATTTATGTACATAGAGAATTTCAGGACGTCAAGAGATACAATCCTTCGAAAAGATGCAGTTCTAGCATACACAGCTTTGAAGAAAAAGTTAGATCATTTCCCCGTTGAAAAACGAGAATTTATGGTTCAATGCTCTTTGGAATGCGAGACTGATAAGGATATGGTTGATAGAATTATCAAAAAGAGTCCACAAGTCGCTCTCACATATCCAGAGACTTTTGTGAGCATGAGCAAAGATTCTACCAACTTGACACGTGTCTATTTGGGTGCATCTATCGGAGGAGTCGAGACAGATACAGATGGAGCAATTTCCAAAGCCACTTCTCTTTTGATGAACTTTGAGTTGAAGAATGATTTGACCGGAAAAGAACACAATTTTTGGCACAGGCATTTTGAGGAGCAAACGAAGTTGACAGCTGCTTCGAATATTTCTCTGATGTCTTGGTCTCCAGAAACATTCAAAGATGCTGTCGTTTCTTCCTTGAAAAATCAGTATTGGTAAGATATTGTAGATTTTAGTCTGAGAAGGGAAGAATAGGATTTCGTAAAATCTAGTTAGGGTATTCATTCTGACGTCATGGTTTCGACGTCTTCTGCATTCAGAATTTTCAAATTAACGAAAATCTTTCAAGAAAATGCAAAGTTAGAAACATTTGTCATGGATTTCCGGCTATTTTGATATCCATATTGTCATCAGGGAATAACTATAACGTTAGAATTTTCCTTTTTGACAAAGTTTTAGAATATGAATGTTGACGTCTTCTGAATTCGGACCTTCAATTTTTCAAAATATGGAGAGTATAACTTAGACTGTATAAGCATCAAAACTTCGGCTCCGCGTCACTTCGAAACAGTCATTTCGAAACCGTGGTAATACAGACGAATGGATGAATTTCGAACTACAAAACGATTTTAGGGTTATCAAATATGCCTTTTTTGATAGAAAAAATTCTAAAATCCGAAAAAAACCTGAATTTCGAAAAAAAAACTTTTTATTTGGAAATTTTGAGAGCTTCAGAAGTTGTTCTTTCAGAAAAAGCGTATTTAAAAACCCTACGAATCACTTTGTAGTCTGAAATTCATCCATTCACCAGTATTACCACAGTTTTGAAATTACCGGTTTCGAAATGTCTGGTTTCGAAGCGAAACTTCAGAAATTAAATGGGAAATTAAATTTTTCTTACCTTTAAAACTATGAATTTCCAATGGGCTTTACATTTATTTGGCTTTGTGATGCACCAGGCAACTCATCTGATCAGGAAGCATTACGTTGAATTCCCGAATTTCCATTCTGACCTCAATCACGCATTCAATTGACGTCGTCAGCTGTTCTTTGAATATATATATATATATATATATCACTCTCTTTATTTTCCATCAGAAATTATTGATGTCTGTAGACTTGCTGTAGAAAGAAATCCTTTTTTGCTCCTCAATGAGCACTCGGGTCTTCTGCACCCACAATGAATGTTTTTCCTGTTCCAGGTGTCTTCAATTCTGCTTCATCATCCTTTTTGTGTTCTGCCTTTTCGGATCTTTTGGAAGCAATGCGTATCAGGTAGTTATTTTCTGGCTATCCTTCAAACCTGAAAGTTCTATTTTCGTTTTATTTCAGTCGAAGCCATGTCTTGGCATCATGATATTCATCACGATATCCGCCGTTTCAATCACAGGTATGACGAAGAAAGGGGAGGGGAGAAGAAGAAGCCTTACTCCTAACAACAATTATTCCGCTAATTTTGGATTCAAAATTTTCGGATTAATATTATTCAAATCTTGAAATTGTGAAATATAATCCTTGTCCCCGGTTCTTTCTCTGTTTTTTTTCTTTTTCCTTCCAATTCCCAAATCCTTGTTGCAGGTCTTTCAATGCAATTCTACAGAAATCTTCCTGTTGATCCATTGGTTTATCCCATTTGTTTTGTCACCATTGGTAAGTTTCTCCTTGAATTATTTATTTTTCTTTTCCTTAACAACGTCTTCTCAATTATTCAAAAGAAGAGGAGCCTCCTCTAGGAGAAGGAATCCGAGACCAATTATCGTATATTTTCTGACTTTCATCTCTTATTTCATAAATCTTTGCTTTGAGAAAAGAAAAGAGTTGAGATGCAAAAGTTTATAGCTCACTAGTCAGTTTTTAGTGCTATTACTTCCATTTTAATGACCCCAAATAAATTTAGTATGTCGAAAAAACCCAAAAACCCACAGAAGATATAAAATTCTTGGTTGTTAAAAACGCATTTTCCTGTTTTCCCAGAAATATTTGTTTGTTGTCAAAACTGAATACATTGATACGATAAATATAGAATCAAACGTTTTGTGGGGAGAGAAACTCAAAACAGTATTCTATTTACTTTTTGTATGGCCGTTTTTTTTCAGTTTTCAAAAGTTTTACATTTGTTCTTGTTTCCTGTCAATTTTCGGAATGTAGATGGTTTTGATCATTGAGTTGAACATTTAGTTTTGTTTTGAAATTCACAAGTCTACAGAATTGAGGAAGTTTTTGGTTCATATTTCAGAAAATTACGAAAAATTCGTAAATTTCAGAAAAATCTGATAATTTTGACAAAACTATGAAACACAGATTTGCCAGAAAAAATCTGACAATTTTAAAACATTCAGAAATTTGGAACCATTTAAAAATAGCAACATTTGGAATGGAAAATATAGCAGAGAAAATAGTTTTTCTAATTTTTCTCTCTTATATTAATTTAATCTGATTTTAATGAAGCTTTGGGTTTTGAAGATACTTGGTGTTCTCGGAACTTTCGGATTTTTGGATTTTCGGAATTTCTGTTTTAGCAATAAATACGATTTTTTAAATTAATAAGAATTAATAAGATTTCGAAAATATGTTTTTAATTTTGATTTTGTGAAAATACGAAACTTTAGAGATTGTGAAATTCTGAAATTCTGAGGTTTTGATATTCTGAGATTCTAAAAATTTGAGAGTTTGAAGTTCTGAGATTTTGAGATTCTGAGATTCTGAGATTCTGAGATTCTGAAATCCTGAGATTCTGGGATTCTGAGATTTTGAGAATCTGAGATTCTGAGAATCTGAAATTCTTAGATTCAAAGATTTCGAGATTTGTAGATTTTGTGTTTTTGAGATTCTAAGATTCTGAGATTTTTGAATTTTTGGAGTTTAGGATATTCCTTGAATTTTCGAAAAATTCTTAGAACCAAAATAACCGACTAGAAACAGAATTTTGTCACCTCCTTGAAAGAAAAAAAAATCTGAACAGCCCTCTCCTGTCAGCTCATAGGATTACTGTAGCTCGAAATTATCAATTTTCTTGACTTCTAGGTATTGGTCTCCTGTGGTTGTTCCAATTGCACTTCAGCTGGTCTCGATACTCCTCGGCGGCTGTCCACCCGACTGAGAAAATTGCGTTTATTCTTGCTCACGATGGTCCTGGAATCGCTGCCAGCGCAGTCGTCATTGTCCTGACATTCCGTTAGTTTTAGAAATCTCTTTTAAAAATATTTTTCTCTTTTTCCAGTTGCAATGGGAGCAGCTATTCAGAATGGTCATATGGTATCCTCGTTCCTTGGAATCGCTTCTTCGGTTGCCATTCTTTTGGTGTTCACTGTCTGGTACGGCATAATCTTTTGAAAATATACCTAATCTTTGATAATCTTTGGTAATCTTTGAAATATCCAAAAGTTTCAGCTTCAATTCGGTGTTCGTATTCGTCGGTGGAAGTCGTGAAGCCCGCGGAGTGAAATGGTATCAAATTTTCAAAACCGGAGACACCCACTTCACAGCTCCTCAACTCGCTTCGTTCGACTCTGCGTCTCTTTTCTCTCTCCATGATCGTCTTCTGGATTCTCGTCCGTGTGCTTCGAGAGCCGTCGGAGCATTTGTGATCAGTCCAAAGATTAGATACCCGATTCTTGTTCTTTGTACCGCCTATGTCTTCTTCGCCATTTATGGATTCTACAACACAGGAATTGATATCAAAGAGGAATACTTCCTTCCATCCGGATCATCAGAGAAATCATTCATTGAGCAATACAGGGATCAATTTGGAAAGACCACTCAATTTGTGGAATTAACCATCGAAAGCAGTATCGAGTACCATGACCATGAAGTTCAAAACAGTATTTTTGATATAATGGATTTTGCTATTGTGAGTTTCTACTTTCTCGAATTTGACCTGTCGTAAACACTCTAATATGATACTCTAATAGAATGCCTTTCAAACCGTCCACTTTTAGCCTATATATCTTTTTTCCTGTAAAAGATATCAAGATGTGGTCAACTAACAAAATGTTTTTGGTATTGTAATTAAAATTTTGCCAGTGGACCACTTTTTGATATCTGTTACAGGAGCTGAGATTTGTGGGTTCAAAGTTGACAAGTCGTCCCCGTTAAGAGGTCGGCAGCCAACTTGTCCACTTTGAGCCCACATATCTCAACTCCTGTAACATATGTATATCAAAATGTAGTCAACCGGCACAGTGTTAATTATAATATCAAAAATGTTTTGTTAGCGGACCACTTTTTGATACCTGTTACAGGAACCAAGATAAATTGGCTCAAAGTTCAAAAATATGTGCTCTTGTATTACAGGTTTTACAGTAATTAGAGAATACAATTCTTCATTTTTATAATTTTTCAGGCCGAAGGATACGCCACCCGAGCTGTCAACTGGCTAGCGGAATTCGCGAAATTCGAAAAAGCGAGCATTTATGATGTGAATCCGGTGAGTTTAAACGTCTCCATTGACAACCTTCTCTCTTCTTTTCTCTTTTCTTCCGCAATATTCTATTCCTTTTTTCTTTTATTCAGGACACCTTCGTGCCAGTCGTCAATCTCGTCTTTCTTCCATCCGAAACTTATCGAAAATACACTTCCGATATTGTTATGGACCGATTCCAAACTCAAATTATCAAATCGAGAATGTATTTGGAGCTGACTGCCAAGGGATTCGCCGAGAGGTTATAGTTTTTTTTAAATATAAAATTCTAAAAATGGAATTTCAGAACATCCTTCGTTGACATGATTCTGAAAAAAGCCGCTGCTAAAGGAATCCCATTTTCCGTTGATATCCCAGCTTCAATGTCTCTTCGTCACGATATTAGCGTTTTCACTTCTGGAATGGTTGCATTCGGAGTTGCTATTGTGATGCTGTTCATTGTTTCGTTGCTCCTTCTGGGTCAACCAGCTCTTACTGTCATGCTCCTTATCACTTCCATCGCAGGTATTTAACGAAGCCTTTTGGGTTACTGTAGTTTCAAAGTCCTTTTAGTGCTCGGTGAGACCGTCGGCTACGCCTACTACTGGTCCGTCCCAATGAACATTGTCACTCTGACCATGGCTCTTGCCGGAAACGCTTTGACTTGCGTTATCGTAATGGCATTCTGCTACAGCTACTCCATGTCCGGGAAGTCTCAGATCCGTGCTGGAGTTAGAATTCAGTACACTTTCCAAGTAAGAATTTAGAATTAAACAAACAACTTCAAAAAAGTTCCAAATCTTTCAGGCCACTCTGATCCCAGTTCTTTTTGCTTGCATCGTCCCTGTTCTCACCTTCCTTCCATTGCTCTACGTGGATGTTCCAGTCGTCCATCATCTTTTTAAAATTGTGGTTTTGAATGCGACTGCTTCCTTGATCCACTACCTCTTCTTCTTGCCGAAGTAAGGATGGTCCAATCCTTTATCTCTAGAAAATCTGACTTTCCAGCATGATGCTTGCCTTCTCCGAACGTTTTGGATTCTCCTGCTCCTCATTGAGCTGCGCCGAATTGTGTTGCGACATGGATGACGAATCTTCAATCTATTATATTCCAACTGGAGGTCGAGCTGTCCATCCAGAAGGTCTTTATCATCATCCATCCTACACGTACACCGTTCCCAAACCACTAATGAACGCTCCACCACCACACTACCTGGCAATTGCTGCTCCACCAGTCAATTCGATTTACGGGCAGGCTGAGTATGCATCAAGAGGAGAAATGAAGAGAGAGTCAAGAAGGCATAGAAGGCATAGTGAATCATCTGTTGGTGCATCGGAAACCGATGGAACACCAAGAAGGGATCGAGAACGAGAATCAAGACGGCGACGACAACGGAGAGCTGTTAGCAGGGATAGCGAGATTTATGAGGATCTTCCAAGCCCGGTAAACACATAAATTTTCACATTATTTTTTCCGGAACATCTTGTAATTGCGCTCAAACGCGAATCACAGGGATCGAATTGCTGGGGTATGCGGTTGTGCTCAAATGATTAGGGGCGTGTCAGCTGGAAATTTCCTTTCGTTTTCAATTTTTCCACGCCCCTCTCATTAGAGCGAATCCGCATACCACAGCAGTTCGAACCCTGTGGCGAATGACTGGAATACTACAGTAAAACTAGCGCTGGTCTCGACGCGCACAGGGTTCGATCTGCTGTGGTATGCTGTTGCGCTAAAATGAGAAAGTGACGTGACGAAGTTTTACGTCGTTTGAAATTGAACGTTGAAAAATTTCTCGCTATTATGCCGCGTTCAAAGTTGATTTCCAGGAGTAATTTCCTGGAAAAACGCTGTCCAAAGCTGCCATTGTTTTCCAGAGGCCTCCGCTTCGAGACCCGCCGTAAATCGACATGAATCAACAGAGAGAACACAGCCAAAACGAGTGATACAGTAGTTTAGCGTTAATGGAGATCTGGAAAACAATGGCAGCTTTGGACAGCGTTTTTCCAGGAAATTTCTCCTGGAAATCAACTTTGAACGCGGCATTATAAGTTGGTTTTTTCACTAAATCTTCGCCACGCCACTTTCTCATTAGAGCGCAACAGCATGCCAAAACAGTTCGAACCCTGTGGACGGAAAAGCTTTAAATTGAAAAAAAAACGCGGGAAAAACAATCCGAAAAGAAACATTGAGAATAAATTCAATGAATACTTTCCAGAGAGTGGTAACATCATCCCGCTCAACATCTCCACGTCGTCAACAACCAGGAAGTATGCGTCGCCAGAATCATTCTGTTCCATCAAATCCACGTCCACAAGCCTTCCACTACGAGGAAGGTGCTCAATGGCGTCCATACGTTCAGCCATCGCCATACATGTTCTATCCGGGACCAGTTTATGGACAACAAAGACGCTAATTATACAGAAATATCTAATACAAAAAATCTCTCAGGGACCCCCTTCTATAACCTATTCTCATCATCCTTATCTTCCACCGTGACAAGTCCTCGACCCCCTTTTCAACTCTCTCTCCTGCCACGTTCTTTCATGTTGCCTATGGTGCTGCTTTTATCGTTATCGTAGTATTATGATTTATTGAACATCTTCTTGCTTATTTATTTACTTTTATATAATTACATTGACAATAAATGATTTTGAAAAAAAAAGGAAGGAGGTTTTTACACACAAACATAAGAAAGAACCCAGTTAGTAGATGAAAAAGTTAGGAAATGCTTGCACAACAAAAAACCCATTTGAATTTCCTAAAAGTCAGCAACAGAAGCCTTCTTCTTCAACGTTCCCAGCTTCATTAGCTTTCAGAATCAGACGCTCCTGTTCCTTTTGTTGCCTTTCGTCTTGTGATTGAACATGCATCGGTTTGCTCTGCTGAAGTTTATGAAGAAGAGTCAAGAAGATCGATTCCACGTGATCGGCTTCAGAAGCAGCTTTGGCAGATGTCTCGAACAACGCCATATTGTTGCGGTCGGCGAACATCTGGAAAGAAAATTTTGACTTTGAATTGATAAGCTCTACTTGAATTATTTGAATACCTGTGCTTCATCTGTTGACACTCGATTCGTACATTCCACATCACACTTATTGCCAATCAGAATACGAGGAACTTCACTATCGCCTACCAATCCATGTTTTTCACATTCTTTGATCCACAGAGCCAAGTCATTGAACGATTCACGACTGGAAATTTTTTGCTGAAACTAATAATAAGATCTTCAAAATTCTTACCATGTCACATCATAAACGAAAACTACAGCGTTCACATTACGATAATAGTGAGCAACGATCGACTGGCGGTACCGTTCTTGTCCAGCTGTGTCCCATAGTTGCACGCGTAGGAGTTCGTTCTCGATCACACAACTTCTCTCCCTGAAGTCTACTCCAATGGTGGCTTCTGTGTGCTCTGGGAATCGTCCGCAACAGAATCTGAATGACAGACATGTTTTGCCAACTGCAGCGTTTCCGACTATGATAACCTGAAATATGGCAATATAGTAACAATACTATTATTCTGGTATCGGAGCTGTAGACGAGAAACATAGGTGGCCGTGGCCGAGGGTCCCACAGCGAAAACTATCGTAACCTAATTTTTTTCGATTTCCCTTTGTTAGTTTTCCGATTTTTTTGGGGAATAATAACGGGCGAACCGACGAAAATTACAAAAAATCGAGACACTACATTCTGAAAATAAAATATATGTTTAGCTTACGATAGTTGTCGTTTTGGGACCTTCGGCCACGACCACCGGAGTTTCTCTTCCACAGCTCCGATTTTTTGTACTAGAATAATAACCTACCTTGAATGTTCGTTTTTGCTTATAGGTTTTATTCGAGGATGGCGCCAAAGCCATTTTCTTCGGTACTGTAGAGGATGATTCAGGTGCAGATGGGATAGGCGGTGGAACTGTTGGAGCTGCGGTAGGATACGGTACGCGAACAGGAGTCGAGGATGCTGCCGGGGCGATTTCCTCAATATCAGCCGCCGGATTCGGTGGAACTGGCTCGCACGTCATTTCCTCTGGATGTGTCGCAGTGACTTGTCTTGGTGGATCGATTACTGTGGCATAGGTGGAAAACTGAGGAGGAGGGATGTGGACATGGTGCTCAGACATCCTTATAAATAATATAGCTCATAGAAAACATATATAGTGAGATTGGGAAGATATATGATTATGTTGGCTGACATTTTAGTAGAAACAAACAATTCATCAACAATTGAGACCTTTATTAAAAACAAAAAGAAAACTGGCATATAAAACCCGATCAAAATGAGATCTAACAACGATTGATATAATATTAAATTTAATATTTCTGTCCATACGGTGGCCAGAGTTTGCCCTCCTGATACAACTTTTTGAATGCTGTATTGACATGGTGGGGCTGAATGGGCTTGGTTCCTTCATTCGAAGCATCCCGTATTTCCACTGCTTCTTCAACTATCTCACCAATGAACATCTAAAAAGAATACCTATTTAAACTGGTAAGTTTATTGAATAACAAACCTTTGCTAGTGCGGAAATAGCAAGAGCCACAGTCTCCGTTGGAGCAGATCCAGTCACTTCAGTGATAATGTTTTTGATTGGTTGTCTTCGGAACTTGGATCTAAATAGATTGATTTCTCTATTATAAATTGAAATGTATGTTTACTTTCTGAAAGCTTCGTAGCGGTCCAGTTGCTCTCTTGTTAAATTCGCTATAAGAAGTTCTCGTGCAATGATGACTTCCTCCTTGACACCAGTATCAACAGTATTTTGTTCTAGACTCTGAATACACTATTAGAAAGAATTATCATCAGAAGATGTGAAACCTTATCAGTAAAAGAAGATCCACGTCTTGTAGCGGCTGCTTTATGCTCCGATCGAGATGAGAACATTGAAGCGTTTGCTATTTGAGGAGCTTGATAGCTCGAATTTTTTGTTGGTTGAACTAAATTTGCATTTGCATCGATTTCCATTTGTTGAGTTTCGTCAAGGTAGGGATCGCCGACGTCGAGTGTGTCATAGTTTCGATCAGGAGACTTTGTTGTTTCATTTGTAGCAATTGGTTCATTATAGTATGAAGAAAAACTTGAAGAGCTGGATACCGTAGGCGCGCTGCTCGAATATCCATTTTCTGATTGATTAGAGACAGCCTACAAATTAAACATTCACTTTTTTGATTTATATCAATATATTATTACATGTTGTTCTTGGTAGTCTTCTTGAGAGACGGATTCCATGCTTTGGTTTGGGGAAAGTTCTACCCGCTGCGAATCTTCACGAATAGTCTGTTCATCTTCACTGCTACAGTTGTGAAATTCTTCAAGGAAGGCCAATTCAGTATCAAATTACCTCATTTCCAAGTCTTGAAGAATCGCCACATTGGATTTCTCATTTTCAACCTCGTTTTCGTTATCACTGTTATCGCTGTCACTGAGTCCACCGAATAGGTCATCCGCTGCGCCTTTTGTTGTCATTCTGGAAATTTTAAATTACAGATTTATGATTTTTTTATTCATTTATGAAATTTCATCACACTGAAGGAGGTTAGACACCTCGAAAAGCCATCCGTTCCTTCATGAGAACACGTCATGAACACTGATTCTCTACCGTCTCTTAGCCATCGTGCGTGTTAATGGAGCGCATCAGCTGCTGTCAGTCGTGTACTTCACTCGGACAAGATATAAAAGTTTTGTAATTTCCCACTCGTTTCACACCAATTTCTCTCTCGAATTTCTAGATGGCCAGCACAATTCCAGTAACTATCGATTTTTCGGGTGGAGCTGAGTTCCTAGTAAAAGCAAAAGTTCAAAAAGTGCAAATTCCTGCAGGTAATTTATCAGATAAAGTCCTAATTACAACAACCTGTTGCAGACTCAACTCTGCGGGATGTTCTCAAATTTGTAAGGGACAATCTCGTAACAGATGTACACAGGATGAACATGCTGCTAAATGAAGATGCTAGTGAAGTTGCACATGGTGTGATTACACTGATCAACGACACAGACACCGGTCTTCTATCAGAATACGATACCACAATCGAAGCTGGTGATACGATTACTTTTGTCTCCACACTTCATGGAGGTTAATTGTTCTGAATACTTTGTCAATTTTTGAAAATACAGTTTTGATGATTTCTTAAATTAATTTCGAAGAGCGTTTGTTTTCGAGATATGATAGATTCATACTCGAAATAAAGGAGAACTCCGCATCGGAGGCAATAAAGACCACCAAAAAAAAAGATCGCGGAGGAAGAACTATTTTCGAAAGTGAAAAAAAGAACAACAATTTCTGCATGACACATTTTTATTCGGATGCTTTCAATGTACAATCTAGAGGGGGGCAATTAGTGCTTTCCGGTGGTGGTGGTGGTGTTGGTTGGCTTGTTGCCCTGAGTGACAGCATGGCCTTGGGTGGTGTGGATTGGAATGGCACGGATGTTCGAGTGAGCTCCAGTCTTTGGAACATCGATGGTCATCTGTCCGTCCTTGTTGATGGCGGTGTGGATGTGAGCCAAGTCGACGTTCTTTGGGAGAGTGAACTGGCGAGTGAAGGATCTGAAAATGTAATTTTAGATGAAGAACTGATCAATTAGCTCTTGAAAGTACCTCTTGCTGTATCCGTGCTCAGTCTTGACCTCGTGGTGTCCCTCGATGGTGAGAATGTTGCCCTCAAGGTTGACCTTCAACTCCTCTGGCTTGAAAGCAGCGACGTCGAGCTTGACGGCGAACTTGTTGTCGTTGTCCTCGACCTCGTTGAGCTGTTGTGGCACGATGTTGTTGAAGTTGTTGAGCATGTTCATGCGCTGGGACCAGTATGGCATCAGTGGCTCGAACTCGCGGAAGAGTCCCATTGGGCGACCGGTGTATGGGCAGATGGACATGGTTGAGTAGTACTTGTTAGATGAGAGGAAAATCAAATCGTCTGAGGAAATGGCGAAATCTCTCGCCTTTTATACTCCAACATTGTGTGGAGCTTGATCTTGTTTACTTGTTTATTTGTTTACTTGTTTACAGTGTTTTCGAGATCATCGAGACAATTCTGGAAGACCGCGCACCGGATTCTGTGCAGATCAAACACTAAATTTGACGAAAATTTGCAGATTTTCAGGATTTTCAGTTTTTTTTCGTCTTGAATTTTTGTTTCTCATTTCCAAGCTTTTTTCAAGATATCTTGTCATGCTTTCAGACAAATTTTGTTCAAACACCCTCCAAAAATTCTCATAAACCGTGTCAAGCCCCGAAAAAGACGCCAGCACCATCCAGTCGACGCTTTCCTGATTTTTTCACGACGTGGCCGTAAATCTACAAGAGATTCAGGATCAAGATAAATAGGAGAAATCCAGAAATTAGGTCCTCACAAAAAATGCCGACCGAGCTAGAAAGCGTAAGAACGCGACAAATTGGTGGGTTAATGAATACAAATCTCAATAAAATCCCTAATTTTCAGTCGCCTTGCGGACCATGATCAACTTAAATGAGCCAGTTATCAGCTCAGGAGTCAAAGAACCTGTAATTCTCCATTCTGTGAGATTTTTGAAGTTATTTCGTCTATTTGTAGGTGTGGAAGATTTTGGTTCTCGACAAGGCTGCTCAAGATATTATCTCTCCACTTCTTCCAGTCAAACAACTCAGAGATCTGGGAGTCACACTTCATCTGTAAGATTTTTTTTTTCAAATTTTCGGCAAAAATTTTCAAATCTGTTGCAGACTTCTCGGAGCTCGCCGTGAGCCACTTACCGATGTTCCAGCTGTGTATTTTGTATCTCCCACTGATGAAAACATTGACTTGATGAGCGAGGATCTCAAAAAAGCAATGTATGATTCATTCTACTGCAATTTCATCTCTCCACTTGCTCGTCCTCGATTGGAATCTCTTGCTTCTGCAGCTGTCCATGGTGGAGCTGTTGCTCAAGTACAGAAGGTAGTGGACCAATACCTTAATTTCATCTCACTGGAAGATGATCTTTTTGTTCTCCGTCGCTACAACGAGAATAGCACTTTCTCCTATTTCTCAATGAACTCACCAGGAACATCTGAAGTTACCGTTAACGCTATGCTCGATTCAGTTGCCGATGGTTTGTTTGCAGTTTGTGCTACAATGGGAATCGTCCCAATTATCAGATGCCCGAAAGGAAATGCAGCAGAAATGGTTGCAAAGGTATCAGTGTTGAATTGAGACGAAAAATGAATTATATTCCTACAGAGGCTAGATCAAAAACTTAGGGATAATCTGAGAGACTCCCGTAATAACTTGTTCACAATGGATGGTGTTCGGATGGGTCTCCTACAAACAACTCGTCCACTTATGGTGATTGGTGATCGCGGTGCCGATCTTGCAACAATGCTTCATCACACGTGGACCTATCAGGCCCTGATGCACGATGTCTTGGTGGGTTTTATAATTTTTACAGCCAAAGAAATACATAATAAGTGTTTAGGAACTCGACCAAAACCGTGTAACAATTACCAATTCTGGTAAAAAGAAGGAATACGATATGGGAACCGGAGGAACGGACAAACTATGGAAGAATCACAAGGGAAGTGCATTCCCAGCTGTGGCTGAGGCAGTTCAAGGGGACCTGGATGCTTACAGAAGCAGTGAGGAAGAAATTAAACGATTGAAGCAGGCGATGGGTATGAGTGGAGAAAGTGATGCTGCTGATGAAGCCATGACGACTCTTCTCGCCGATACTACTGCTAAACTTGGATCTACTGTTACTAGTCTCCCCCAACTGCTTGAAGCTAAGCGACTTATTGACTTGCACACAAATGTTGCCACAACTCTGCTTGATGTGATTAAAGAAAGAAAGTTGGATGTGTTGTTTGAACTTGAGCAAAAACTGTTGCAACATTCTCCACTCGGTATGTTTGAAAGCTTTGAGAGCTTTGAAATTAATCACAAATACTTTATAGACCAACCCGTAACACAATTTCTGGGAAGCATTAGTAATCAGGAAGACGTTCTCCGTGTACTGATTATCGCCTTCCTATGTCAAGAAACTGTGAATCAGAAGAGCTACGAGGAGATGATGAGCTTGCTCCGTGAGAAAGGAATTGAAGAATCAGCATTGAAACAAGTACAAAAGCTCAAGTATGTCGAAATTCTTTGTAAAATTACTGATCGGACCATTTTCAGATCGATTTCCCAACTCGGTTCTCGTTTAGCCAGTTCATCTCACACGGAAGAACATCAAGGAGCTGGAACAAAAACAATAGGAATGTTCAATAAATTACTGAACCATGGATCGAAATTCGTAATGGAAGGAGTCAAAAATCTTGTTCCAAAAGCACATCATCTTCCGCTGACCAAACTGGTTGACACACTCAACACGCCTCCATCATCTGCTGGAATTTCGGCTGTTGGAATCAATCAAATGATGGGAGGATCATCGCAAGCACCGGATATCGATGAGACGTATTGCTTCTTCGACCCAAAGTTGATGCATCAGCCGACCAAAGAGTTTGTTTTACCTTTTTCTAAGATTACTGTGAAAGTGTTTTGCAGAACGATCGCATTGGCTCGACAACAAGCGGCTCAAGACATTGTTCTCTTTGTTGTGGGTGGAGGAAATTATGTAGAATATCAGAATCTCGCAGATTACGGTATGCTTCTTTATTTCTTTTTCCTTTCTCTTCGCCCAATTATCTTTTTTTTAGGGAAAAGCAAGAACCTAATGCGAGTAACGTATGGATGTACAGAACTTGTCAACCCAACTCAATTCTGCGACCAGGTTCGTCCCCTCTCATAGCTTTCTGGGGAATTTTCTGTCTCTCTGCCTGCTTTTTTTTCTGACGCAGAACTGACTTGATTTGATTTCCAACGCATCCATTCTCGACACTCTTCACCATTCACCGTAGTTTTTCTGTCGACGACTCCTTTTGCTCTTTCCTTTTCCTCCATAACCAATGCGAATCAAATTAGAACGGCGCGCCGTGCGCGGTGAGAAAAGAATGAATGAACGAGATTTTCAACATGAGCCAAAAAGCTGCGGCAATGATCTGTAACATAAAAGCAAAAAGAATGCCTCAGCAAAAAAACTTGATTATAAAAAATGCCGCCTCCAGGATGTTCAGCGCATTTTTTATTACAACGTCATCTTCCGCCGTCGCCTCTCTATTTATTATCATAACCGAATTTATGCAGTAACTTTTGACCTCGCCCACAAGCCTCTTTTGCCCTCGTGGCCTCAATGAATCAACGCCGTTCGACCGCTGATCTGACCCCCTGTGGAATACTCTATGCTGGTTTCGACACGTTTCTTCTTGTCTGAACGACTAAAGATGGCCGGAGAGAATAAGTTCAAACACATTTTTGTTTCCAGAACATGATATCTAAACAACGGCTGTCGTAGCCGCCGTAAATGGCAAATCAAATTGGGGATCTTCCCTTGAACACATTTCCCATTTTTTCTTCCCTCTTCAATCTGCATTTTTATTCCTCTCCCGTGTTCTTCTCTTCATCTTAGAAATGTAGTTCTACAAAATCCCTTGAGACCGTGTTTAGAGTGATGACAGTTGACAAGTTTCCCGCTCGATTTGTCGTCTGATTTGATGCGATGTTTGGAATGCGTGCTTTCGAATGTGGAGTGAATTATTTGGATAGAGTCCAAGTCCTATGGATGCCTTATTTACATATTTGTCACAAGCCAGGCTTTCTTCAGAAGTTTCAAGGCCTGGCCCGTTTTGACAACGATTTTCCGTCGCATAAGAAGCTTGCCAAGAACCGTTTTTCATCAAAAAACATTTTTACACGGACCCTGAAAATCTCCAGGCCCTCGAACCCGGCCCTGATTTTTAAGTGGGCCATATATGTTCTTATTACACACCCGGGAAGCAATTGAACCCTGCCAGAGGTGGTTATTATCTGCATACACATACAGAATCCAGTCTCTATGACTCCGGTCCTATTTTATGACTTTTGTAACGATTTCCCTTTCCTTCCTGACTGCTAGAAGTTCCTCTTTCTCCAGAATAGAGCAGAATAAGAGCAATTATGTTTCTGCTAGTTTCTTTGCTCAATTAATCTCAAGATGTGCAGCTAGAACAGGAAGGATGGGCGAAAAAATGACGTCGAAGTTAGTTTTCTGCAAAAAAAATCATCTTCTCTGGCAGAGAATCTCTGCGAAATTTTGAAAGAAGAGAAACAGAAGAAATCAAATAATCAAGTTCTCTTTATGACTCTCTTTTCGACGGACTCTGGTAGTTCAACTCTTTCTTCCACTCCGCGTGGTCATGTCCGTCCGGACACATCGTCCATCAGCATCGGACGACGTGTTAGCAGTCAGAGTGGGCGCCACACTCCTCCTCTGGGGACGCCGACCATAATCCAGTCGAAGAGTCGCTGCTGGGTTCGGAAAGGAAGGAGCAGTCGAATGAGACGAACATTCCACACTGACAAAACACATCCGTCTTTGTGTCGCCGACAACTTTCCTCACAGGCCTTGCTTCATTTTTTTTTTTGAGTTTTTTTCTAGTCTAGTCTGATTGTTTAGCAGTATCGGGTTATTGAGTTCCACTCGACTTTTTAGGATTCCAGGATGCCATCGTCGCTTTTTGACAAAACATTATGGCACACCAACAAAGTTTCGTTTTGCAGGTCTCAAAAATATGGTTATATTGAGTCCCTTTTTTCCAGCCACCGTTTTATTATTTCTAAGACAATGAGGTATAGAAATGCGATGGTTCCAAGAAGTCGTTTGTAATTCAAATTTCTTCGTTTTTGTTTTTTTCTAGTATTCAAAAGAGATCTCGAGATTTTTCTGGGAATTCAATCGTTATACGCGTTATAAGCCAAATAATACATTGATGCCAAGAATGTAGTTGTCAAGAAAACCGTTTTCCACAGATCGGGGTCTTCTTCCGCAGGAGCTCTCCGTCAGCTTTCCCGGCACGATGACGTGATTCAGCTCGTCATCATTATCGCATTCTTTCTTCTTTCTTCCTCTTCTCTTCATTTGTATCTTCTGTTATATTTTTTGCGACATTTTGTAAGTGTGAAAAGAAATATTTTGTGGATTCTTTCTTTCGCGGTGGCCTGAAAAAAGGATAGAAAGTAGTTTCTGGACGACCCGAAGAAACCGCGCCGCCCTGTGAAGAACAAGAGCAGACACTTCTTTTTTGCTGCTTCTTCCCCTTCTTCCTTCTTCTTCTTCTTACTCCTACTTTGTTTGGAAAGTGAGGGAGGAGTAGAAGCAAAGAATAGTAAGGATGGGGGGCTGGGCCCCCACTCGAGAAGACCTCCCATTCGTGATTATCACGTGATGTTCATTGTCTTTATAGAGATGACTACCACTACTATTGCTGTTGGCCTCAATTCTTCTCGAAAATTGTTTTTGAGGCACAGCAACAAACGGATCGAGAGGAAGAAAACTGGATTGTGCTTAATTACTGATTTGGCTGAAAATGTCTGAAAATATCTGGAATTGACTTGAAAAACAAGGGGCTTGATGAACTACGATGGATGCTCGTAATCCTCTTTTATTGGGGAATCTTGATCGCCGTCTCAAGCCAATTAACAAGAACCACGTAATTTGCATATTCCCTTTGTGTTGAATTTCTTCTGGTGCGGCAGGAGATAAAGAAGGAGGCAAAACATGGAAAACGAAAATGCATTTGGCAGATTAGTCGATTAGACGAAAAATGGACATACCGTAGGTTTATGGAGCCTTTCGTCGTCGTTGTCGTCCTACCAATCCAATCCAATCTGTTGAGTATTTCACAATGGAATTTGTGTGGAATATTTGGTTGATCTTGTTCTTTTTTGCTTCTCAAATGCGTCATTTAGCTTCCGTGCGTTTTTTTTCAATCGGGGAATACTTTCGGAGGACCACCGTTTCATCATCGTAAGAATGCCGTTTTAATGGTTCTCTTATTCTCCTGCCGTGTGCGTCAATCCAGAGAGTACGTTTCCTGGGTCCCGGGGCGCCGTGTTTCTGAGTTGATCCAAAAAGACATGAAGATGACGGGTCTTTTGAATTCAGAAATTTAATGACTCGTGAACGACAGAGCTGTGAAGAAGTGAAACGGGGCGCCGCCGCAGGGCAAAATAGCTGGGAACATATTCAGCCACAGCTTAGAACAACCTATTTGCGGAAACAATTCGGTTGTTCGAGATTTTTTTTCAAAAAACATTTTTCGCTACAAAAGTATTTCTAGTGGTTTGAACTATGATTGGGCGAGTGATTTCAGAATGACTGTGAGAGAGGCGTGGACCGATGATGATGGATCCTCAACTCTGGTGTTTCGTCTGGGAACCACGTGTGTGTGTCTTATTTTTAAACTAGGTTTACTCTTCTCTCTTCTCCTTTCCTCAAATAGTTTTAGTCCACTTTACTCATCACCCCCCCCCCCCCAGTGCTTGAATCACTCAGTGCGGAGCATTTTTTCCTTCTCTCCTTCGGACCAGGCATACACTTGCACAATCTGTCCTTCTCCGCACCCGCACCGCCCGGTTGCGCCCATCCTTTTCTTCTTCTTCTTCTCCTTCATTCGTTGAGCTTCTTCTTCATCGTCGTCTTCTTCTACTTTGTATTTTCGTCCGTTTTCTTCTAGTTTCGCATCTTCTTCTGGACCTGGTGCTTATGAAGTACACCCATCACAAGATGGTCTTCCTTTTTCACGTTTTTTTGTTCAAAGTCTTTCCGAAGCACAAAGCTTCAATTTTTCTAATGCGGAAGTACGAGTTGCTCGGCTGGAAAAAGTGGGTCGGATTACTTTCTTACGCAGCGAACATATCAAAAACCAGTTCGGCTCATTTCCCTTTTTTAGGAGCTCAAACTTCGAAATATTAGGCTCATTTCTTTTTTAGAATGCAAGGAGTGCAGGCTCTGGTCAAGGAATAATGACCTTTTTGAAATCTGAAGCTTCTACTACGCCATCTGAGTCTTCGCGCATCGAATCACAAAAAGTCCAACATTCTATTTTTCCCCTTTTTCAGCACCCCCCCCCCTCCCATCTCGTTCCTCTTCTTTTTTCTCTCCAGCGAATTACAAACGACTTCTTGGAACCATCGTTCATTCTTTTATCTCTTCAGAAATGTTTTTGGAGTTATTCTCGCTAACAAAGAAGAACATCTCTCTCCTTCCCGAGCCTTCATCCCCGGAACTTTTTGAATAATTATGCATTCTTTTTTCAGCTTACACGTCTCGGACGCACCTCGGATTAAAAGACGCCCTGCTGCAGATGCTGTTGCTCTTCCGAACCATACTGGTCTTTTCTTCTTCTTCCCGATTTTTTTTGCAACGCCTCTCCCCAGAAAATAGGGGCGGAGTCATCATCATCGGCTCTCAAACCCCCGCCCCTCTTTTTTGTTCCCTTTTTTCTTGGACCTTCTATCTTTCAAATTCAGCTCCTTTCTATTTCTCCTAAAATATTCCTCTCTTTCCTTTTTTCTTGTTAAATAATATTTCCAGTTTTCTCCTCTTCCTGTTCCCGGAATTTTTCTGAAAGCCCTAATTTATACGGTAGCCTTGTAATTTATTGTGATTATTTATTGTAAGTGTGTATGTGTGGTTGTTGTATGGTGCACAGAAAGAAAAGAAAATATATAGAAAAGAATGTTTCTGGGGTGAATCAGAGAAAAGATAGATGTGAAGAGATGAGTGGATGGATTCACCGGAAATTAGAGCCAGAACTTTTGCTCTTTGAGCAAAATGAAAGAAAAAAACAAAAAGAAAAGATAGATGAGATGGATGCAGATGTGTGGATTGGTATGTAAGTTCATTTGGAAGATTGGATTTCAGAGTAGTTTCAGAGCTTTTTGGGAATTTGGAAGTTTCGATTCTTTGATCTATTTTTTCTTCGTTCCCCCCACCAGATCCATTTCAAAATCTGGATTAAGATTCAGTGACCCGAAACGATTAAACTTAGAGATCATCGCCGGAAAACCTAAATGAACTCCAGATGCTTCCTTCAATCCCTCTAAGCCACGCCCCCTTTTTTCCCTTCCTTCTGAAATTTCTCACTTCTTTTTTCCCTTCTTTTTTTCTCGCTGGTGACAACTGACCCACTCTTTTTTATCACCCGTTTTATTGTATTATAATTACGAACAAGCCAAACGACACCTCACTTTTTCTTCAATTTTTCTTCTTCTTCAAAGATTTCTCTTTCCGAAACACTAGAAGCTTCGAAGACTCTGGCTGGCCATTTTCTGTATCGAATATCATTTTTATTTTCTCTCATATCATTTCGTATCGTCTTGGGAAATCCGATACAGGTGTCGTGTAACGAGACGGAATGTCAAATTTTAATGCTTTTTTAGTCTTTTTTTTAGTCCGAAAATTCAGGATCTATGCAAAGTATTCCCGTTTCCTTCTTTTTAAAACCCATTCTCTGATTTTGAAATGTTGGCTGTCAGTGACAGAAATGGAATGGAATATGTAGTTTTTTTTCCAGTTTTAGTAGTTCCTTATTCTAAAAAAATTGGTCGGGAAATGAAAGGACCAAAAAGTTTGGTTTCAAAAAATTTTCCTCTCGTTTTTTTTTCTTTTGATTACTGTAGTTACCGTATTCGCTATAATGGAGAGGGATTAATATATCCCTACTTTGACTTTCATTATCTCAAGTTCTATAAGAGATATGAAAAATGTGTCAACTGACAAAATGTTAATTATAATATTAATAAAATTTCCTCAGTTGACACATTTCTAATATCTTTCACAGTACCCGAGATATATGGGCTCAAAGTTAACAGGTCGGCAGCCGATAGCGCAGCTCAACTAGCAGGCGCCGATTTTTTAATTTTGAGCAAATTTATCTCGGTTCCTGTGAAAGATATCAAAGAGTTGTCAACTGATAAATTGTTTGTCATAAAATCCCAGACGTTTTATTAGTTGACAAATTTTTGATATCTTTCACATCAACCGAGATATATATGCTCAAAGTTAAGAGGTTGGCAGCCAACCGCGTAGCTCGCAGCGCCAACTTGTCTACTTTTAGCCAATTAATCTAGGTTCCTGTGAAAGATAAAAAAGTTGTCAACTAACAAAATGTTCATCATAATATCAAAAAAGGTTTATCAGTTGATACATTCTCCATATCTTTTATATGAGCCGATATAAATTGGTTCAAAGTTGACGGTTTTGGCTGGCTTCTATTAGAGGAACTACGGTATTTGTAGAGGGGCCATTCTATTAGGGGGAACACAGAAACATAATTGTACTGTTTTCTTATTAAGATTTTAGAAACTTCCTATCACAAACATTTTATCAGTCGAATGGTCCCCACAAGGACCAGGCATAAAACCACGTCTTCAGGAGCTTGTCTGAAATCCAGCTGTTTTCGATCCAGATAACCATCTGATTCCCAGCCATTAATCAAGCCACTCTTTGTACTTTTTTCTTGTACTTTATCTAAATCTCATTCCACCAATCACTGATCTCAATCTCACTGCTCCGATCCCAGTTCAATCGCGTGCTCCTCCAAGTCTCTCTTCGGATGACGTGCTTGATCTTTTCTCGCCCTTTCCTCCTTCTCTTCCGAATGTTTATATCTTTTTTTCCTTTCCTTGACCATCTCTTATCTCAAATCCATTCCAGAGGGTCCTCTCTCCTCCTCTCTCCTCTCTCGTTCCCGCGAACAGTTGGGCTCCTTGCTCCCTCCCTCTCTCCACGTATCATCATCTCAATCACTTTCTGGCGACTTCTCTACCCGTCAGCGCCGCACCGTGTTCTCCCGTGTTGGCTCAACTTGTGCGTGTTTTACATCTTTTCTTGCTCCCGGGGGCCTCCCCTTCTACTCATCTAGTTGTCACCACCGGATTCTCTCTACTCTCTGTCTCTATCTCTTCAAAAGAGACAGCCCTCCCGTTTCGCTCCCTATCAACTACGGATTATGATCTTCATCTTCTTCTTGTTCTGCAGCAGTAGTTGTTGAAGACCACAACACGATCCCAAGGAATCCAGATGACACGGCCTTTAATATTCGTCGTCTTGCTCACTGCACAAATTTGTCTACACGTCGTACTGTGTCAGGATGAGTAAGTTGACACTTTTCTGGTTTTTTTGGTTTCAGGGAGACTATAAATAATCTATCGAAGCCAGAGGGCATAAAAACCCCAGGTATAGCTTATAACTTACTAGGGAGCTATCTGAACATGTCCCCGAGTTACACTTCATGACCTATATCATTAGAAAGCCCACGAAATTCTGATTCAGAATATGTTTTCCTTTCTTGCGAAACGGCGGTGAGCTTCGAGAAAATGATGCCTAAAGAATTTCTACAATCCTTCTTATTCTCTCTCTGCTGACCACTATCCGCTCGAAAAAAGTAGCCGTAAAAATGAAACATCATCTAATCCTTTGTGGTCCCTTTTTCTTTCTTTTTTTTCGTACTGCTCTCCTTGAATGGGTGGCATTAGAGAGTGATATCAAGATGGCGGCTACTAAGAGATTATTTTAAAATATTTCTTTTTTCTTTATTCTCTCTTTTCCCCCCTCCCTGATTACCTTTGA